CTTTGCAGATATTGTAATTTCGCAGAGCTTATTACATAGTTGTATATTAGGATGTAGCTATTTTAATAAAGCTATGTATTATAAATTAGGCTTGCTCTATAAATGTGTGTAAACAATTTTAATTATTTTAATTTTCATACACTTAAAAAGATTATGAATACTAAGTAATAGCTTTAACAAAATATGTCATAGGTGTGTGATCCTTTTTTATACAATATAAGTCTAATTAAACACGTACGTAATTTGAGTACATAGTTTCTCAACTGTTTTTTTTTATAGTTTTTTATAATATATGTATGTACTATCAGGTATATATTTGTTTCACTATTGTTTTTTAATTTCATTTTTAGTTTTATTGATAAATTATTATTATTAATAATAAGTATCCTTATTGCATATGTAATAAAAAAGAATCTTAAAATAATTCCATTCAAAAATTCTATTTTAATAAAATACATGCATAGATTGTAAACTTATCAATTACATAAATATACGTTTTTTATTTTCTTTTGTTTTTATTTATAAAATCCCTAAAATACGCTTTAGCTAATGATTTTTTAACAGTTATCCCAATTGATTTATACTTATGGATCATAAATGACTAGTAAGATTTGTGGCACAACATTAATAGTTCATTATGACAGGGTAAAATAAACTGTTGTTTAAAGCTTTATAATTTTCACTTTTGGAAACCTCTGTCGGAAGTGCTACAAATTGAAAAATATTTTACTTAAATCAAGAATAGTTAAAATTCATTAATGCAAATTTTCATAAAATATGACACATAATTCTCTAAAAGAGAAATGTAGTTTTCGCAGTGTAGGTTCAGTGAATAGCTACGTTCGCGTGTACTGTGAATAGTTACGTTTTCTCAGAGTATCTCTGTGGTGGAACTCAAGGTCAAATATTTCTATCCCTTCAACTTCAAAGTTCCGACCATTACTTTCTTTTCTGTATTGTTCTTTCTTCTGTGGTTAAAGTAAAATGCTCTAAAACCGATTATTTTCCACAATACTCCAAAAGGTTCCACTAAGGGACCGTTATTTTTTAATATTTTTAATAATGACGCGGATGATTGTAAGTAAAAAATAAATAATCTAAATGACTGCTTAGTATTACAAAACAACATTAAGCTGATTTAAAACTGGTGTAATTCTAACGGTCTAGACTAAACGCGCAAAAACGTAATGTGATGACATCACATACTTTGATTTTCTTTTACGATGACATACACACGTAAAAAAATTGAATCCACTATGACTACGTAATTGGTTCTACGCGTTAAAACAGATCAAATTATATTAAGGACTTGGGAGTTACTTTTGACCCGAAGTTAGGTTTTTTTTCCATACATTAACGACGTAATTGCTTCTGCCTTTCGAATTCTTTGACTTATTCTCAGAAATATGAGTGATTTCAGAAGTAGGGGAAACCGGGGTTGGTTGTGACAGGGGTAAGTTGTGACAGAGGCGAATTCTGTCATAGTAGCAATAGCAACAGCGTACGGTCAGTGGTTGAATAAACAGCGTCTCGCTCTCTTCACTTCGGTATAGTTTTGGTTACCGGGGCTGCACGTCACCGTCTGCTGTGTGTAATAGTGTGTTTCTAGCGGTGTAAAGTAAATATTGTAGCCTTCAATCAAAGATTTATACACGAGGTGTCTTACGCCTATTTGTTACTATTCCTATGCGAAAAAAATCATCAAGGTATGTGCATTCTTCTGTTCTTGCGTATTTTATTAATTTTAATCTTCTCGTGGCAACAAACAGAAAAAAATACAAACATGTCGTCTGGGGGTTGGTTGTGACATTCGACATGGGGTAATTTGTGACTGTCACAACTTGCCCCGTATCAAACTGCCGCCGAATAAAATATTTTATTGTTAACTAAAAACATATAGGTACCTACTTACTTTTATAAAAATAATATTTAATAATATGTTTATTGTGAAATTCTTATTTCTCCTTGAGTTTGAAAAATAATGCCTGTTTTTAGCGAGGTTTTTTAATGTTATTTTCACTAACTGTTCATATTGTTTTTTTATAGAAAAATAATAATGAGAACGTATAAACGCAAAACGGAAAGGGGAAAAACGCCCTTAGAAGTTTTTGAACGGGCATCTGTTGAGGTGTTAATTAACAATAGATCTCTTCGTTCAGTGGCTGCTGAGTTTCAAATAAACCGTATGACGCTACAAAGATTTTGCAAACGAAAAAGGAACATTGAAGGTAAGCTTATTTTATTTAATTGAATGTAAACCTTGTCTAAAGCCATATTTTTTTCAGATAACCATGCACCTGTTCAAGTAGGATACAAACGAAATAGGCAGTTTCTTCCAGATTGCATGGAAAACGATTTAGCTGAATACCTTATCCAACAATCTAAGTTGTATTTTGGGCTATCGACGAAAGAAGTACGGCGATTAGCATATGAGTTCTCAGTTAAAAACAAAATAGAGGTTCGTCAAAATTGGATTCAAAACCAAATGGCTTCTTCGGATTGGCTCACTGCATTTCTGAAACGTCATACAGCTTTGTCTCTGAGGACTCCTGAGGCAACAAGTCTTAGCAGAGCCACAAGTTTTAACAAAAACAATGTCAATGCTTTTTTCTCGCTACTTGAAGAAGTTTTGGATCGTTATAAATTTGAAGCCCAAGACATTTATAACGTTGATGAGATGGGCATAACTACCGTCCAGAAACCCGATCGAATAATAGCTAGAAAGGGTGTGAAACAAGTTGGTTATGTCACATCTGCGGAGAGAGGTACATTAGTAACTTTTTGTTTCGCCATCAGCGCTAGCTGAAATTCAGTTCCCCCCATATTTATTTTCCCCCGAAGAATTACAGAGAACATTTTGTGAACAATGGCCCACCAGGTTGTATTGGAGCTGCAAATCCATCGGGGTGGATGACCGAAAATGAATTTTATATATTTCTGAAGCATTTTGCCAAGCATACACGTTCATCAAAAGAGAAACCAGTCTTACTGATTCTCGATAATCACGAGTCGCATCTGTCGTTAAACGGTATAAGTTTTTGCAAAGAAAGTGGTGTGGTCGTGATTACTTTGCCCCCTCACTGCTCGCACAAAATGCAGCCGTTAGATCGGTCTGTATATGGCCCGCTGAAAAAATACATCAACAGCACTATTGATTCTTGGATGAGAAATCATGCAGGAAGAACAATGACTATATATGATATCTCAAATATTGCAAGAGAAGCGTTACCTCTAGCTGCAACTCCGAACAATATTCAAGCGGGTTTCAGGGTTAGTGGAATTTTTCCTTTTAATAAACATATTTGGTGAAGATGAGTTTTTGCCAGCAGTTGTTACAGATAGGCCAAATCCAGAAAATATGACAGAACCAGTTATAACCGAATCAAAAACCATCCCAGACCAAGATGGAATACCTGAAGCTGAAGCTCAAGAGATTGTCCTAAATGATAAAGAAAATGAACCCAAACAAGCTGATGGAGCTGAAGCTTATAAACATAAGCAATCAACTCCCAGACAATCACCTATAATTATGAATTCACCTCCAAAACTGAGTACTTTAGATCAGATTCTGTCGGATAAAACGAATTTACCTGGACCATCAAATGTTGGCAAAACATATTTTTCACCTCAAGATTTACGTTCTGATCCAAAAGCAGAGAAACGAGTGGGAACTAGAAAAGGGCGTAAACGTGGTCGAACGGCGATTTGGACTGACACACCCAACAAAGAACAATTGGAGGAGGAATACAGAAAAAAACAAGAAAAGGAATTGAAGAAAAAGGCAAGAGACTCAGGTACTAAAAGAAATATTTGCAAGACCAAAGCAACAACTAAGCGCAAGTCATTGAAACAGGCTGCCCACAGGATTTCACCATGTAGTTCTGAGGATGAAGCAGACACTTATTGTCTAGTATGTGGAGAACCGTACTTCAATTCACGTTCAAGAGAAATATGGATCCAATGTACTAGGTGCCGGTACTGGGCTCACGAAGCATGCACTGACAACAATCCGTTTTTTGTATGTCAGAATTGCGATTCTGATGATGATTAGTGAACTTTTGAAGCATGTCACAATTAACCCCAGCAGTGTCACAAGCAACCCCAAGTTGGGGTTAGTTGTGACAGTTGAACCTACTTACATTATTCATTAATAGCGTTGTTTATATTACTCTTAAGTTTAATGTTTTTGTGTTTTTATGTTTGAGAAACATCATAAAATAAATGGTAATTAAAGAAAAACATGTAACTTAATTTACAAAAAGTAGAAAAAATAATTAACAAAAACTGGCACAACCAACCCCGGTCTCCCCTATAGACACATCCAATATATTATTTAGTCCACTGGTTATATCCAAACTCGAATACGCAAGCGCAGTGTAGTCCCCAATATAATATGATGTTCATATTGCAAACCTAGAAAAGGTTCAGAAACGATTCTTGAAAGTCTCAATTTCAAATTCACAGGATCAGTTGCTTCAAAATTTTAAACAAAATTAATTGTGCCGAACTTTTGTCGCAGATAAGTTTACGGGTTCTTTGTATTACTTCGAAAAATCTTTTTCTTTGCCCATACCTCGAACAAATATTTTATTACAATCACCACTTTATCAAATGCAAATCAATTTTAATGCTCTCCCAAAACATTGATATTTTCAATTGAAGAGAAGGTGATATAAAAAATTTGTTTAGGTTTAGGTTACCTAGTTTTATCTTATACGAGTACGTCTTATCTTATTTTAATTTTTCTGTGTCTAGTTCTAGTTTTACTTAGTTGTATTATTGTCCGAATTCGTTTTTTTTTTGTAAATTTATTGTTTACTTTTTGATGCATTCAATGTACCCATGTATGTAATTTTATTTTATTTTTGATATGTATTCCACCTGTAACCGGTTTGTACGGTTGGATAGTATATAAATAAATAAGTTTAGAATACGAATGTCGTATATTAGTTTTTACATTACCATACTAGCATGTTTAAAATAAAGGCATTCTTACTCACCTGAAATTAAATATGTCAACGGTCATCATAGAAGTAGTAAATATATATTCAAAATAGGTTTGAAAAATAACAACCAACCAATAATGTTTGGTTTGGTTAAAAGGAAACCATGTTGAAAGTGCATGAATTCTTACTGTTATCGTTTCATTTAACACCGGGTCAAATTCTTTAGTTGCAGTAAAGTAAGGCCTTAAATGGATAAACAATGTAGCTGAAATGAAAATTTGGTTAGGTAAACTCGATAGAAATTTTTGGGTACCTACAAATCGACAGGAATAGGAAAAGCTAAGCAGAGGCCGATCGCCACGAACGAACAGAATGAAGTAAGATCGCCGGACTTAAATTCAGTACGCATAAGACATCGGTAGCTTCAACTATTTCTATCGATCTGTACTTCTATTTACTTTTATTTTTGAGCTTAATATATTGTAAAGGTTTGCCATTGAAAGAAGAAATTTTAAAATTTAATGCCAAAAATATAATTAAAAGGTAAAATGATTATATAGGCGTAGAACTTGATTTTTTAAATAATTGCACCTTTAAAAATTCTACGCCAATGGAAGAAAAGGAGTTTGAGTATGAAATTTAGATTGCGCAACTCATTTACTTTAAAAAAGGTACTCTTGATAAGACTCGATTACTCTCATGGTTTTGACGAAATTTGCATTTTACTAAAATACAAACTTTGTCAAAACCATGAGAGTAAATCGAGTGTTATCAAGGGTACTTTTTTGTAGTAAATGAGTACCCAATCCAAATTTCATACTCAAACCCCTTTTTTGCCATTGGCGTAGAATTTTTAAAGGTGCAATTATTTAAAAAATCAAGTTCTACGCCTATGTATTATTATCGGACAAAATTTTATACGATGAAAAACATAAAAATGTACTTTTTTTATATCTTCTTCAACACCTCTAATCGAGACTTTTAACAAAAATACTCGATTCTTGCCATGTACGATTTTTTGAGGAATATTAATTATTTGCCTGCAATACGTATACAAAAACATTTATTGTTGGTTTCCATAGTTTCATCTAAATAAAGATATTGTCAAGTTTTAACACCTAATCTCTTGTTAACGATTGAAAGTGTTCTATCTGACTCAATAATTAAAAAAACAAATGCGTGGTTTATTAATATGACTGTACAATATAACAATGCAGAATATACCGATATGTTACTGACATTAGGATTTTGTGAAGGAAATGCTCGAGAGAGTGTCAGGGTGTACTCTGAAAGGTTTCCAAATCGTCGTGTACCTAGCCACACAACTCTTGCTGCTGTTGAGAGACGTCTTCGGGAGACCGGTTCCTTTGCTCCCAACACTGTTGATAATGGAAGAGAACGTTTTGTAAGGATTCCTTAAGTTGAAGAAGACATTTTAGAACGTGTTGAAGAAGATCCAGAATTAAGCACCAGACGAATTGGAAGGGAACTAGGAGTAAGTAAAGGTGTCTTTAATAAAGTGCTTAGAGAACAATTGCTATATCCATACCATAAGAAGCCAGTACAAGAATTATTAGTCCATGATCCTCAAATTCGTTTGGGTTTTTGTTGATTTGTTAATATGCAAAGAGAAAGAGATCCAAACTTTGTCAAGAAGGTTCTCTTTACCGATGAAGCGGGTTTTACAAGAAGAGGTATAACTAATACCTATAATGAACATGTTTATGCCGTTGAAAATCCGCATGCAATAAAGGTAAACCATTTTCAGCACGAATTCAAAATTAATGTGTGGGCTGGAATAATTGGTAATTTCATTGTTGGTCCTGTCATACTTCCACGAAGATTAACTGGAGAAAATTATTTGGATTTTCTACAAAATACGTTGCCAGAATTGTTAGAAGATTTACCTCTCCAACTTCGGAGAGATATGTGGTTTATGCAAGATGGAGCTCCATCATATTTTTCTTTAAACGTTAGAAACCACTTGAATGAACAATATCCACACAAATGGATAGGCAGAGGTAATGACGCACCTGTAAACTGGCCACCACGTTCTCCAGACCTAACGCCGATGGATTACTTTTTACGGGGACATCTGAAATCCACAGTTTACAGGGAACCTGTAGAAAATGAGGAACAACTCTGGCAACGTATTCAAGATGCAATAAACAATCTTAGAGGTGATGAAGAGGTTATGGAAAGGATACATTTTAATTTTCTTCGACGTATAAATCTTTGTATACGTGAAAATGGTGAACATTTTGAACAATTTTTGTAAAATCTCTATTTTGATTATGTTGTAAATAAATATTTTTGTGAAACCTATACACTCTAAATTATTAAAATAGAAATTTAGCGAAAACCATGAGAGTAATCGAGTCTTATTAAGAGTACCTTTTTTAAAGTAAATGAGTTGCGCAATCTAAATTTCATACTCAAACTCCTTTTCTTCCATTGACGTAGAATTTTTAAAGGTGCAATTATTTAAAAAATCAAGTTGTATTATTATCGGACAAAATTTTAATACCATTTATTATGCCACATAAAACTACCAATATACCAAATTTCAGCAAAATCGCATATGCCGTTTTAAATTTATATGGGAAAAACGATTTAAAAATTGTAACTTCAAGGCCCTCTGGAGCCCAAACGAAGCAACTTTGTACAAAGGTAATTTTACTTAAATCGACTAATTTTGGTCTAAGGAATATGTGGTATGTTTTTATAAAGACCTTTTACAGACACCCTGTATATCCACCAAAGAAATATAAATTAAATGCAGACTACTCTACTAAATAATTTGAATAGTGAATTAGAAGTCTTAAAATTACATCTGAACAGTTATCTTTTTTAATAATTTAAAATCCGCTTAATACTTATCATCAGATGCAAATAAACAAAATATTTCGCACACTTTCGGTAGTTCGACAATAGGTCATTGTGTAAAAATTGGCACTATTATTGGTAAAATCTAAAAAAATCCACAAAAATTCAAAAAGTAATAAATAAATTTTGCGGGGCCAAAACTGCAACAAAGTAAGCTAGCTATTGGTATCCTGCACCTTGTAACTGTTATAGGTAAACGTACGAAAAAGTGAGGAATCTCTGAGTGAAGTAATTCTGGTAGCTAGATGCCTCGTTAACGTAGATCAACTAATTCCTGTAAGGGTTGCCAATTATCTAGAAGACCGTTAAAACAAAAGAAAGGACAAAAAAATAGAGCTCTGTACACCGGTAGAAAACATAATCAAATGAGAAGATGATTTTACGGCGAAAGCTACCACAAGTAATTTAGTTGACGCCAGCTTTGTGAAACGGCTATTTAAAAATTATGACCATTTAACAGTCGAAGAATTTAGAAAAGTTTAAAAGTTTAGAATTAATCAATACCAACTGTAAAGTTTTCGAGACAGGAAAATTTACCAGTCTTGTACAGCATACAATTTATACCGGCGATGAAAGGCCAATACAGCAAGCACCTAGAAGACTCCCATTTTCTAAACAGAAAGAATTAGCAAATATGATACAGGATGTAGCAGCTATTACATGTTAGTCTAATCTTAAGTCAACTCGGTAGCTGGGGAAACGTAGATTGAAGGAAGAATGACATTAGTTGTGAAGTATTAATAAAATCGTAAAAATCATTTTAACATATATTTTATTGGTACAATTTGGTGACCCCGACAATAAAGATGCCTACGAATAGACAACGCCAGAGAAGTCCATTAAACAGCCAGCAGCAACAGGAATATAGTCCGACAGTTTTAAGTTCCAATCCGAAACTACCGGAATTTTGGTCACGGGACCCACATTTATGGTTCGCTCAAGTAGAAGCAATTTTTTTAACAAGAAACATATTCGATCCCCTAACTAAATATAACTACTTAGTAGCGTCATTAACTCCAGAAATTGCAACAGAAGTACGGGATATTTTATTAACAGCACCAAATAATGAGTCGTACTTAAATCTTAAACAAGAATTAACAAAACGGTTTACTTTTTCTGATACAAAAAAGGTCCAATTTCTATTGTCAACCTCAGAATGCGGTGATCGAAAACCTTCTCAAATTTTAAGATATATGCAGCAACTCCTAGGATCTGGTTTAGAGGATAAAACACTTTTCAAGGAATTATTTCTACAACGGTTACCTTCTGAAATACGTCTCGCATTGACAGCCCACAAAGAAACAATGGAAATTAACAAACTGGCCGATATAGCAGACAACATGCTAGAAGCTATTGAAATAAGAGAGGTTAATTCCATCAAAAGTACATCAGATACTGAGCTCAAAAATCTTTCTTTGGAGGTTAACGAGCTAAAAGTAATGGTTCAGCAAATGGTTAAGCACAGTCCACCTAAAAAAGATCGCGGCGACGGTACTTTTTGTTGGTACCACTTCAAATTTGGAAGAAATGCAAGAAAGTGCGTACTACCTTGTAACTGGCAAGAAAAAAACGACAATACCAGCGAATAACGACGACGAATTTAGCTGGTCGTCTATTTTTTATCAAAGACTTTTTAACCAACAAATTATTTTTAGTTGATACTGGAAGTGAGGTAAGTGTTTTGCCGCCCAATGCAGTAGATTATAAAAATAAACAAGTTTATACATATTTACAAGCTGCAAATCAGTCAAAAATATGCACATATGGATATAGGCCGTTGTCTTTAGATTTTGGTTTAAATAAAATCTTTCAATGGAAATTTATAGTCGCAGACGTTAAACAACCGATACTCGGAGCCGATTTTTTAAATAACTTTAATTTTTTAGTTGACATGCAAAATTATAAACTTACTAGTTCTATAGAAATGTCAACAATAAATGGAATTAAATCTAATAAAAAAACTTTAAAATGTACATTGGTAACACATAAAATTTCACAAGGTATTGAGCATTTACTTAAAAAATTTCCTAACCTTACATCACAAGATACTTTTTCTGGTGTAAAACACAACACTTCGCATTTTATAGAGACAAAAGGTCCGCCAGTTTACTCTAAACCCCGTAGGTTACCACCAGAAAAGCTTAAAATTGCGAAACAGGAGTTTGAGAAACTATTAAAGCTAGGCATTATAAAACCTTCTTCTAGCAATTGGTCTTCACCTCTTCACATGGTTTCAAAGTCGAATGGAAGTTGGCGACCATGTGGAGATTA